TCTGATCAGAGAGATCTTGAGCTATCACTTCCCTAGATCAAAGAAAGCTGAGATAGCCCTCTGACAATCATGAAGCTATCAGAATAGTCCCTTAAGAGTAACACTGGCTGGGCGCAGTGGCTCAGGCCAATAATCCCAGCACTTTGGGAGGCCAAGGTGGGTGGATCATGAGGTCAGGAGTTTGAGATCAGCCTGGCCAACATGGTGAAACCCCATCTCTACTAAAAACATGAAAATTAGGCTGGGCATGGTGGCTCATGCCTGTAATCCCAGCCCTCTGGGAGGCTGAGGCAGGAGGATTATGAGGTCAGGAGATTGAGTACATCCTGGCCAACATGGTGAAACCCGGTCTCTAAAACAAATAAATAAAATTAAAAATAAAACAAACAAACAAAAACACGAAAATTAGCCAGGTGTGGAGGTGCACACCTGTATTCCCAGCTACTCGGGAGGCTGAGGCAGGAGAATCACTTGAACCCAGGAGGCAGAGGTTGCAGTAAGCCGAGATCGTGCCAGTGCACTCCAGCCTGGGCAACAGAGTGAGACTCCATCTCAAGAAAAAAAAAGACGATGCGAACACTGAAGACAGGTCCTATGATATAGATACAGGTCCTGTGGAAAAACCTGAGATATAGATCCTCAACTGATCATGGGGAACTTTGAGATAGCACCCCCCTTTTATTTTTGAGACGGAGTTTTGCCCTGTCACCCAGGCTGGAGTGCAATGGCATGGTCTCAGCTCACTGCAACCTCTGCCTCCCTCATTCAATCGATTCTCCTGCCTCAGCCTCCTGAGTAGCTGGGACTATAGGCGCATGCCACTACACCCAGCTAATTTTTAAATTTTTCTCTTTTTTTCCTTTCTTTCTTTCAGGCATGTTCCAGCAAGGATAATTTTTGTATTTTTAGTATAGATAGAGTTTTACTATGTTGGCCAGGTTGGTCTTGAACTCCTGACCTCAGGTGATCCGCCCACCTCAGCCTCCCTAAGTGCTGGGATTATAGGCATGAGCCACCACATCGGCCAAAACAGCCGTTCTACTCAACTCATAGAAAGCCCTGCCACTGCAGGACTACTGATCATGGAGAGCCCTGGGATGATGCCCTAGTGTGAATAAACCCTCGAGACAGACCTTCAGGTAGGCTCCATGGTGCAAGGAGATCCCAGGGCCAGCACCCGCCTTGCAAAGAGAGTTGGAGAGCCTTTCTCGCAGACCCTGAGATAGCTCTTTGCCACCAACAGGAATCTCTGAGGTATCCTTCCTATGTTTCTAGTGCAACAAGTTTCCTGAGATAGCCCCTAGGGATTAGAAACTCTTGAGACAGCCGCCTTAGTATGGGAAAAACTCTAAGGTCTATGACACAGGAGAGTTGCCTTCTTCTTCTTCTTCTTCTTTTTTTTTTTTTTTTTTTTTGAGACAGAGTCTTGCTCTGTTGCCCATGCTGGAGTGCAGTGGCATGATCTCAGCTCTCTCCATCCTCTGCCTCCTGGGTTCAAGTGATTCTCCTGCCTCAGCCTCCCAAGTAGCTGGGATTACAGGCATCTGCCACTGTGCCTGGCTAATTTTTTTTTTTTTTGTACTTTAGTAGAGACTGGGTTTCACCATTTTGGCCAGGCTGGTCTTGAAATCCTGACCTCATGATCCACCTTCCTTGGCCTCCCAAAGTGCTGGGATTACAGGCATGAGGCACCATGCCTGGCCAAGAAAGATGCTTCTGATGTAGAGAGATGGCTGAGATAACCCCTGGAGAAGAGAGGCTGGAGGCTGGAAATAGTCCCTTTAGGAAATCATAAAAACACTTAGGATGACCTCAGTGAGGTACCCTGGAATAAAACCACTCATGTGAGGAGACCCATGAAATAACCTATATGGAGACCCCTGATGTAGACCCCCAAATATATGGCAAAACCTCTGAGATAATGACTTGGGAACAAGTAGCTCAGATACCCCAGTGGAAAGAGACCATCACTGAGCTGGCTCTCACGGGACAGAGACCCCTAGAGACAAAGTGTCTGGTGTGGAAGAGCTCTGAGATATCCCCTCAGACCAGAGTCCAGAGATATCCCTCTGATACCAGAAGACTTTTTTTTTTGAGACAGAGTGTTGCTCTGTAACCCAGGCTGGAGTGAAGTGGTGTGATCTCAGCTCACTGCAACCTCCACCTCTGGGTTCAAGTGATTCTTCTGTCTCAACCTCCTGAGTAGCTGGGATTAGAGGCGCCCGCCACCACACCCAGCTAATTTTTGCATTTTTAGTAGAGACGGGGTTTCTCCATGTTGGCCAGGCTGGTCTCGAACTCCTGACCTCAAGTGATTTACCTGCCTCCGCCTCACAAAGTGCTGGGATTACAAGGGTGAGCCACCGCACCTGGCCGATATGGGAAGGTTTTCACAACACTTTGGTGTGCATTGCTGACTCAAAGGGCCCCTGAGATAACCCCCAATACCAGGTCACACCCAGCACAGACTTACTTCTTGGCGATGTTGAGCATCTTCAGTTTCTTCTTCATGCGTGGCCGGGAAGTGGTGGAGACAGAGGTATCCACGAGGGAGGAAGTGGACTGTGACACCTGGGAGAATGAAGGAGGGGATGGGTTTATTGATAATTCAGACCCTAGGGGAGAAGGGGATGGATCCAGGGGCTCTCCATCAAGGAGGCGTTGGTGGTGGACTCTTAAGAAGTGCAAATAGGGAAGGGGCGGGGCCTCAATGTGGTCAGAGCGGACCGCAGGGGGTCCCGGACTCACCTTCCGCATAATCTTCCGGCCATAGAACAGCACTTTGTCCCTCTTCCGGAACCGATACCGGGGGCCATCCGGGGCTGGGGTTTCTGAGGATACGTGGGGACAGGGGCACTAGGAGCTCTGAGCAGACTCCACGTTGCCAGAGCTGGGGGACTGCGTGCAGACGCCAGCAAATCCCCATCTCTACCGCCTCAGGACCCGGGGATTTGGGCCCCCCACCCCACAGCCTCCCAAGAGGGGCCCCTCGGTTGCTCACTCGGCACTCGCAGCCTCCTCACCACCAGGAGGATGAGCACGGCCGTGACCACGACTGCCACTCCGGCCCCGATCATCACGCCCAGCACCTGAGGGACGAACGGCACTGGCTGCGGACCACAAATCCGTCCCGCCCGGCCCTCCCCGGGGGCCGGGACGTCCTGGACCCCATCCCTCTCCGTCACCTTCGCTCCCGAGGAGTTTGTAATCAACTCGTGACTCGATAACCCCATCTGCAGAATGGGCCAGCGCCGCTAGCTCCCCGGGGGCGCGACTATTCCCGGAGGCCCAGCAGTCTGAAGTGCATGCCGGGAAACGTAGTTCCGCCGGAGCGGACGCAACGTGTTCTCGCCAGAACGCGTAATGCGCGCTGAGCACTCCGGGAGTTGTAGTCCCCGTGGCACCCCACGCCCGCATCCCTCCCCCGCGCCGCCCTGCCCCTTACCATTCCTGTTTGCAGCGGAGCCTCCATCGGTGGATTCCAGCTGGACAGCAGATCTGCTAGCCCGGGGTCCTGGGAAGTCAAGGAGTCTAAGGAATCCGTGCAAGTTGTCAATCTGGGCCCGACCCTCCCCTGCCTCAAGCCCTGCCCCCAGCTCGAACCCCGCCCCCTGGGGGGGTAGCTTCGCCAACTGTCAGGGGCGCGGCTACAGGGACGCGGTAGGACTAAGGGATGGGGCAAACCGACCTCCCGGCCCCGGCCAGGAGGTGATGCAGGTCCCCGGCTTCCTGCCTGGCTCCCTTCGTCTACTCCTAGGGCCTACCAGACGCCCCGCCCGTCCAACCCCACCCTGGGGCCAAAGGCCGACCTGGCACCCACTGTCAGCAGCCTGCAGGCAGGTACCCGCTGGGCACAGTTCCTTGCAGCTGGTGACTTCCTTCTGGGTCACTGCCCTCTGCGGGATTGATCAAGCCTGACCACCCGAGCCCCCAGACTGCACCCCTTATTCCGTCGAAGACTCAATGCCCCACCCCAGGAAAACTGGGGCCTGTAAGCCGTGGGGTCCGGGGGTGGCACCTAGATACCCGGTTCCCAACCCAAGCCTGCCCCCGGTTAGACCCAGGGGCTGGGGAGCACAGGAGTGCTCTCAGGGGCACCGCAGGAGGTGTCTGATACCCACGTTTCAGAAGAGTCCTGGGATGCTTGGGGTGGCGTGGATTTGCAAGGCGCTGCCGGGTTTTGCTGGAGATTTACTACCACGTAGTAGTGAAGTTACGGGGGCTTTATGGCACGGAGCATCACTGGGACTCCGGGACCGATGCTGGCGCCATTGCTGGGAGGCGTAACCAGGGACGCTGGGATTACTGGGGTGGGGGTGGGAGGGTACTGGAAAGTTACTGAGAGATTCTGAAGATTACAGGACTACTGCTGGGAAAACCAGGAGGTGGGTGGGTACATTCCTGGGGTGCTTATGAGTGCGGGCCTGGGGAGGGCGTCCTGTCTCCTTGGAAGATACTGAGACATGCTAGAATATTACTGGGATTTTTTTGGGAAGCTGAGGATGTTTCGGACACCGCTTGAGTATTAATGGAAATTCGGGGGTCGGGGGAAGGAATCCTGGAGGCTTCGTTTCTTGGAAAAAATTCCTGGGTGGCAGGTCCTCTTCCACCCCAGGGCACACCTGGCTACCGGTGCGGAAACACCTGCCGGGTAGTGGGGGGATGGGACCATCAGAATGTCGAAAGTTAACATGAATCGGAGGACAGATCTTGGGAAAGCGGAAGCTCGCTAATAACCCTCGAAGGGACACGCCTGCGAGGCCGACGGAAACGCGGACTTACCCAGGGGCCGCAGCCGGGGTCCACTCCGCACCAACACCGTTAGCATTCAGGCCGACTCTGCAGGCGCGGCCCCTTTAAATTATTCACGGAAAGGCGTGCCACAGCCCCGCCCCACCCCGCCCCACCAAGCTTAGAAGGCCGACTAAGGCTGCCATGCTGAGTGTGGCCGCGCCTTAAAGGGCCACACACAGATTAATGCAAGGACTGGCCCTTCCGGCTAAAAATGAGAACGACGCATTTATTTTCCCTTTTATTGAACACCCTCCCCACCCTGTCTCCCAGCCCCCAAGAGTCCGACTCGAAAGGTCCAGGCCCTCCTTGGGCGCGGCAGGGAGCCAATCCTTAAAAGCAAACCCTAAGAATAAATAAGCGGGGGGTGGGGGCGGGGGGGTCTCCTAAGTCCAGCGGTTAAGGTCCAATGGCAGTCGAGGTCGAATCAATTCACCAGCAGCGAATGCTCCTCCGAGGGGTCCCTGGAGGAGGGAAGCAGGGAAGAGGGACATCAGTTTTCTCTGGCTCGCTCCCTTTTCCCCAGCCCCCAACTCCCAATCTGAATGGGCCAGACCCAGGACTCGAACCTTCCGCAGCAGCAGAGAAGGCTGCAGGCCGAGCCGCTCCCGCGGCGGAACTTTCCAGAGGTCGGGGTGTCCTGGCACTGCGCGATGTAGGCCTGGAGCTCACTCTCCTCTGCACCTGCACCACCGGGATGCTGGGAAGAGAAGCCAGGAGACTCAGCCGGAAAGTGGCCCCCAACCTCTAAGACCCTTGAAGTCCGCCCTCCCCTCCAGCCATCTGCATCACTTCCCCCCCAACCCCCACTGCCTTTGCTCTTGCTGTGCCTGCTGACCCGTGGTTTCATAGTTTCCTTGCACAGAGACCCCGGAACCTAGACACAAGTTGTATCTTTGCCAGTCTGGTGCCCTTTGCTGTGGGCCCAGCACCTAGAGACCTAGAGCCAGACCTGACACAACCTGGGTGCTCAGAAACCATTTACTGAGTGAGCCGGATGCACACTGAGCCCGGCCGTGGCAGCAGGGCCTGAGTTTGCCCACCAGAGTGGATGCATGTGTGTGGCGTGTAAGTGCTAGGGCAAGACAGGAAGTAGCTCCCAGGGATGTCTGTAGGACAGCTGAATCCATGCATGGGGAAAAGGGGTGGACTCATCTGATGGTGACACTGGATGTGGCAGGGTCCTAGCCAAGATTTCCTTCTTCTTGCTCAGCCTCATGGAGGGACTATCTTTTCTCCAAGTATTTTCCAGCTACTAGGCCTTTGCTTTAGCTATTCCTTCCCCTCAATGCACTGCCCCTCTGGCTCCATCTCTTAGGTCTAGAGACGATGGAAAGGTTCAATGTCTATGCTGTCCAATATGGCAGCCACCAGCCACACTGGCTTTTGGGCAGTGGATACAGGATGGTGCCAGTCAGGGACTGAATTTGCAATTCTACTTCATTTGAATTAATTTTTTTTTTTTTTGAGACAGAGTCTTGTTCTGTTGCCCAGGCTAGAATGCAGTGGTGCAATCTTGGCTCACTGCAACCTCCGGGTTCAAGCAATTCTCCTGCCTCAGCCTCCCAAGTAGCTGGGATTACAGGCACCGGCCACCACACCTGGCTAATATGTACTTTTAGTAGAGATGGGGTTTCACCATCTTGGCCAGGCTGGTCTGGAACTCCTGACCTCATTATCCACCCACCTCGGCCTCCTAAAATGCTGGGATTACAGGCGTGAACCACCACCTCGCCCAGCCTGAATTAAAATTTAAAAAAAAATTTTCTTTCCCCACAGGCAGAGTTTTACTCCATCACCCAGGATGGAGTGCAGTAGCTCAATTTCAGCTCACTGCAACCTCTTCCTCCCAGGTTCAAGCAATTCTACTGCCTCAGCCTCTGAAGTAGCTGGGATTACAGGTGTGTGCCACCACGTCTGGCTAATTTTTTATATTTTTAGTAGACACAGGGTTTTACCATGTTGGCCAGGCTGGTCTCTAACTCCTGACCTCAGGTGATCTGCCCACCTCGGCCTCCCAAAGTGCTAAGATTTCAGGCATGAGTCACTATGCCCAGCCAGAATCAAAATCAAAATTTAAATAGCTGCATGGCACTACAGACTAGTAATAGAACATTCTAGAAGTTCTCCTGGACCTATTCTCATACCAATCTAAAGCAGGAGTCCCTCTATGATCTTTCACTCTTCCTTCATACCTGTTACAAGTAGGTCACTGGTCATGGGTTGTCTGCTCCTGTCTCATGCATCTTGCCCAGAGGCCTTGGACAGATCACGTACACCTGATTCTCCTCGATGCCCAGAATCCGACACAGATCTTGGCCCTTACATATGTCTACCTGCCACTTCCACATCCTGCTCTGTCCCCTGATCCTTGCTGCTTTCTGGGAAACCACTGTTCCCAGCCACCGCACTAGACAGAGGACAGGGGGATTAGGAGCATGGCTTCTGGAATCAGACAGTCCTGAGTTGAGCCCAGTTTTACTGCTTAGAAGTTAACCTTGGGTGGGGTCAGAGGGAACTGGGGGCATGGCTGGGGGCTGAGGACAGGGTGGAGTCCCTAGGGGTCAGCCTTAGGAATGGGGCCAGCTGAGGGTCACCATGTGAATGGCAACGTCCCATGGTCAATGACAAGGTCATTGAAACTCTGTGACTTTGCTGGGCACGGTGGCTCATGCCTGTAATCCCAGCACCTTGGGAGGCCAAGGGGGGTGGATCACTTGAAGTCAGGAGTTCCAGACCAGCCTGGCCAATGTGGTGAAACCCCATCTCTAGTAAAAATACAAAAATTAGCCAGGTGTGGTGGCACATGCCGGTAATCCCAGCTACTCAGGAGGCTGAGACAGAAGAATCGCTTGACCTCAGGAAGCGGAGGCTGCAGTGAGCCAAGATCACAGCACTGTACTGCAGCCTGGACCACAGAGCAAGATTCCATTTCGAAAAAAACAAATAATGGGCTGGGTGTGGTGGCTCATGCCTGTAATCCCAGCACTTTAGGAGGCCGAGGCGGGCGGATCAGGAGGTCAGGAGCTGGATGGAGACCAGCCTGGCCAACATGGCAAAACCCCATCTCTACTAAAAATATAAAAATTAGCTGGGCATGGTGGCGCAAGCCTGTAGTTCCAGCTACTCAGGAGACTGAAGCAGAACTGCTTGAACCGGGGAGGCAAAGGTTGCAGAGAGCCAAAATGGCACCACTGCATTCCAGCCTAAGCGACAGAGAGAAAATCCATCTTAAATAAACAAACAAATAAATAAACTATGACTTGGTTACCCTGTAAAGGTAAAGGCAGACTTAGGCACCCTCCTGGCCCAAACCCACCTTGCCAAGGCTGAGATGCCATCAGTTTCCCCTGCGGCCCCCTATTTCGAACCACCCACTTTTTGGTTTCACAGAGTTGCCCATATTCTTTCCCGGGGTCTTCTCTGTTCACCTGTGGTGTCCCCAAAACCCCTGCATGGCAGACTCCAGGCACCCAGAGCCTGGGCTTGGGGCTAGGCACGTGGCTGAGCACGCGTGACTGACCTTGATGGTGTCATAGGCACCGGTGATGAGCGCAATGAAGAGGCTGAGCACCATGTAGATGAAGAGGCTGATGAAGGAGTACAGGTAGAGCTGCGAGAAGAGCCACACCAGGCTGCTGCGGCCCTGCTGGGCCTGCATGGCGGCGAACGTCACGAACATGTCATCCCCATTGATGAGCGAGAACAGGCACTCAGACACCATGGACAGTGAGCGGAACTGTGGAGGGGTGGAGGGTCAGAGGGAGCCAGGCATGGCCGGAGCTGGGGGCTGGCATCAGGCTAGGGTCACCACGTGAGTGGCCGGGTTCCGGGCTGGGGTCACCACGTGAGTGGCCGGGTCCCGGGATGGCGTCACCATGTGAGTGGCCGGGTCCCGGGATGGCGTCACCACGTGAGTGGCCGGGTCCCGGGCTGGGGTCACCATGTGAGTGGCCGGGTCCCGGGCTGGGGTCATCATGTGAGTGGCTGGGTCCCAGGGTCAATGGCAGGATCACAGGGCTGACCTAGGTTCTGGGCAGATAGAGCAGGAAGGGGAGTAACCCAGGTTGAAATAGGGTCCCCAGCAACTGTGACAATAATGGCACAGGGTCAGTGTCGGGGTCACCAGAGGCCACAGAGGACAGTGGACAGACTCCCAGAAGTCACCAAGGGGTCATCTGGGGGTCAGAATGTCAATGACAAGGTCATAGGGTCAACGTCAGGGTCACTGAAGTTAAAAGGAACAGTGCATGGAATACTAGCAGTCACAACGGGCTCATCTGGGAGTCATGGTGTCAATAACCAGGTCACAGGGTCAATGTCAGGGTCACCAGGGGTTAGAAGAGACAGATCAGAGTACCTGCAGTCACTATGGGGCTGACTGGGAGTCACAGTGTCAATGACCGGGTCACAGGGTCAATGTTAAGGTCATCAGGGGTTAGAGGGGACAGTGCATGCAGTACTAGCAGTCATGATGGGGTCATGGTGTCAGTGACCAGGCCATAGACTCAATGTCAAGGTTACCAGGGTTTAAAAAGGACAGTACATGGAGTACTAGCAGTCAGATGGGGTCATCTGGGAGTCATGGTGCCCGTGACCAGGTTACAGGGTCAATGTCAGGGTCCCCAGGGGTCAGACCTGCTGGTAAGGCCCTGGGGTCCGGCTGAGTCATGCAATGTCACTGGATCTGGGGAGTCCAGGGGTAAGGGTGCTTAGGGGAGGGGGCCAGGGATCCTTCGACTGCAGGCTACACACACCCCAGCCACGGTGGCCCCTACCTTCACGTGATAGGGCCCCAGCACAATCCAGCCACAGAAGCAGTAGCCCAGGTAGATGACGGCCACACAGCAGCAGAAGCGCATGACGCTGGGCAGGGCCACCCGCAGCGTGGCGATGAGGATCTGGGTTGGGTCAGAGGGAGCCTCGTTGAGTTTGTGGCCACAACCCAGGTCAGCTGTGGGCACCCAGATGGGGGTGAGGGGCTGGGGCCTCACCAAGGGCACAGCACGTGTGGCCACAGGAGCCGGTGGGTGCCTGGAGGGAGCAGGGCCATGTCTGAGGGGGTCCAAGGGCACCCCACGGCTGGACTCAGTTGGGTGGGCACGAAGGATCAGGCTCCCGGGCCCCGCCCAGGTGCAACAATGACACCGTGTGTATGGGCAGGTAGGAGGAGGAGGCTTGCAAGGGGCCACTGGCCAGGGCTGGTGAGTGCTGTGTGTGCAGGGATTTCTTTGGAGGGTATGGGGTAACCACATGGAAGGCCCAGCCTCGTGCACAAAGCTCACATTGTAGTTGTGGAAGAAGGTCAGGTAGCGGATCACGCCCACCCACACCAGCAGCGTCGAGGTACCCAGGAGGATGCTGCACACGTCGTAGGTCGCCAAGTTCTGCGGGTGGGAGCAGCATCAACCTCTCTGGCCCGGCCCTTCCCTTGGGGGGTGCCTGGGGGATGACGTGGCCCCAAACGGGCACTGACGGCAGGGATGGGACCTGGGGCCCAGGGCGTGAGCAGGACGCACCTTGGCCTCAATGCCGATCTTCATGATGGTGCCTGAGATGGTGAGCACATCACTGGTGACCAGCAGGATGTACCAGCCATTGACAAATTCCAGCCGCTCCCACAGGCTGATGACCCGTCCCCGCTGCCGCCACATGAACCCCACAAACTCCTGCAGAAGGCAGGCAGGGTGAGGGCCTGTCCAGGCCCAGGACCCTTGAAGGCCTGGCTTTTCTCACCCCAGGGCCAGCCCACACGACACAGGGGCCTCACATTCTGCAGCAAGAAGCCTCGAAGCAGCGAGCGGGCACAGAGGAGGAAGGACAGGGAGCAGGTGAGGATGACGACCACGTCAAACAGGAGCCGGAAGCTGTTGTCTCCTGTGGGGAGAGCACAGTGGGTAGGGCCAAGACGGCATGGAGCCTTGGGAGGCTAGCGCTGGTGCCAGGCCAGGCTGGGGACCTAGGGGACTGCAAGGTTGGTTTTGGCAGGTCAGTGGGCTCAGGGCTTGCTTGGGTGAGTCAAGAACCCCGGTCAGCACTGGTCTGGGGCTTGGGGGATCCCAGGACAGGACATGGTCCCCGGTTCCTTATGATCTGAGGCTCAGAGTATTCCTGGGCACGTCAGGGCCCCCAGGCAGCACTGGTCTGGGGCTCAGGGGCTCACCGTGCCGGAAGACACTGGGGTGCTTACACTCCTGGATGTGGGTCTGGGTCTCTAGGCTGATGGGGATCCGCCCGCTGTGCGCCTTGTTGTCAAATGTGATCTGTGGGGGCCAGTTGGGGCAGAGTAAACCTTGGCACCCCCAAGCCCCAAGGTCCATTTGACAGGTGGCCTGACAGACCCCAGCCTCCCTCCCTCATCAACTGCATGCTTGCCCTTGACCAACGCTCCTGAAACATTCCCAAGAGACTCCCTGACCATGTCCCTGCCCTGGAACTCAGGAGCCCTGTGGGTCCCCCAGGGGCCTCACCAGGACGCTGAAGGTATAACAGTCTGGGATCTCGTTGTTGATGAGGCTCTGGAGGTTAATGGTCTTCAGCCGGAAGTGGATGGTGACATTGATCAGCCTAGGCAGGAGGCTCGGGTGAGGGGCAGGGGCGTCTTCAGGTCCCTTCCGGCCTGAGCGCCAGCAACCCTGCCCCATGCTGATTCTGCAGCTGGCAGGGGAAGTGCTCACCCAGCAGTGCCAGTGCCGGGGGGGCGGGCCTGTTTCCATCTTAGGGAAGTGGCTGCTGGGGTGAGAGTGTCTGGTGTGGTGCCTCCCCCACCCTGGGCCCCCCTTGAGCGAGCAGGCAGTACTTGTGGAATTTAAGCGTGAGGTTCTTGTAACTGGAGCTGCCTTCCAAGAGGGCGAGATCGTCGCTGGGGGGCGGAGGGGGCCGCTCAGGGGGATCCACCTGGATGCAATCTGAGGACAGCGAGGCAGGGAAGGGCCTCAGGGGACAGGGGAGGCCAGGCTGGTCTCCCCAGAGCTCCCTGTAGCTTCTTCCCTGGGTTTCCCAGAGCTGGGTCATTCCTACAGGCCTGGCACTCTCTGGGCCAGAGGAAGTTCAGTGAACGAACCGTAATAAAAAATGACACCTGGTACTTTCTACGTGGCAAGAGTCACACTCACACTAACCATACTTTTTTTTTTTTGAGATGGAGTCTTGCTCTTGTTGCCCAGGCTGGAGTGCAGTGCCACAATCTCAGCTCACTGCGACCTCCGCCTCCCAGGTTCTAATGATTCTCTGGCTGCAGCCTCCAGAGTAGCTGGGATTACAGGTGCCTGCCACCACACCTGACTAATTTTGTATTTTTAGTAGAGACAGGGTTTCTCCATGTTGGTCAGGCTAGTCTCAAACTCCCAACCTCAGGTGATCCACCTGCCTCAGCCTCCAAAAGTGCTGGGATTACAGGTGTGAGTCACTGTGCACGGCTGAATTTTTTTTT